GAAGTCACAGGAAGAGTGAAACAGGAGATGGTCTTCCTGATGGTGATCCTTCAGTCTGGACCTTTTTTTGTTTAGGGACACCAGCTGTCTGGTCTGAACCAAACAGCAATAGCAACAGCTCCCATTACAAAGCAAGGCGGACTTGTTGGCACCCTGTGACTTGAGAGGTGGTGGGACACTGCTCCCCTGCATAGCACCCAACAGCAATGCAGGAAAGCAGCCCCTGGACCAGACGCCCCAGCAACAGTCAAGGCACAGGAGTGATAAATTGAGAGCTGACACCTCATCAACATAACCAGCACAGCAGATCCTGACAGGGTCGGATAGCATGGAGGAGGTGGAAGCGCAGGAGGACCCTGCCCAGGCCACATCCTCCAGGATCAAAAAGCCGTGTGCTTGCTTTCTTATGCTGTGGTTCAGTAGCTTTGGCATGAGGAAGTGAGCAAACAGTTTCTAAGAGACCCCAGGCTCTCCCACCTTACTCACACTCCCTCTGAACAACCTCCCTAAAAGGCAAGAGATGCACAACATATCTGGACTGCTGAAAGCTCACAAGGACATCAGGAACAAGATACAAACCACGTGCAGAGCTTCAACCATGACAAAGCCCAGGGACCAGCCCTTGCTCTAGCAGGCGGCTGCATGAAAAGCCTGAAGACCCACAGCATCCCTATCTGTTCCCTGTCAGGTGTCTCTCAGAGAACAAACCCTTTCATGCCCAGCAGTGGGACTGCTTCTTCCAGGCAAGCTGGCACAGAAGGTATGCTACGTTCACAGCACTTTAACCTCACTGCACAATACAGCATCTGCTTTTCTAACAGACCAAAGGCATTTTACAAACAGCTCTTGGATGCCACATCCCAACATCCTCCAGGCAAAGGGCAGGACGTGGAAAGAGGCCACCCAGCATGGCACCTCTGCCACACTGAAACGCACACTGATGCCCAAGGACCAACATGTTACCAGTTGTCGAATTGTCATTTCTTCATCTCCCTTTCCCCTCTCCCCCAAGACACAAATGATTTCTTATAAAGGTAAGAAATCATCTTGCCCTTTGCCCACCTCCAGCATGACCAGCCAAAGGCATTCACCTGGGGACCTGGGGAGGTGAACTGGTACAGCTGCCTCTTTCACTTACACAGCAAAACCCACTGTGCTAGTTCACAGTTTTTGCAACCCCCCCAAAACCCAAGATTAACAGCCCGCACAACTTAAATCCTCATAAAGGAAAATGTTTCTGTGCATCTGCCAAGCATCTTGTCAGCCTCGCTGCCCTCCAGGCCTCCAAAGAGCTGCCTGTCCCAGCCTATGAGACCACCACTCATGTTAGGAGAATGAGACCTGTTTCCTTGGGGTCTGGACAAACAATCGCACGTCCTCCGATCTCAGGGGAATTTCCCTGCAAACACCACAGAAGCAATTGCCTTCACAAAGAGCACATTTGTACCCAAGTCTGTCTGCTGCTAAATAAGCATTTGTTCCACGTTCCCAAATATCGAAAGCAGTGGAAACACCCACTGCTAATGTGAAATATTTTGCATTCCAGGCCTGAGAGTTAGGCTTGAAAATGTTCAGAGAGGAAAGAGTGTTTATTCACTGGAGAGAGGTGTAGGTCCAGCTATTTACTTAAGTCCACGTGTGCTTGCTGGAAGACAGCTTTGATCTTCGCAGCTCAAACAGCAGATGAATTGCAATGAAGGGAAGAAAAATATTAGTGTAAAGTTCCCCTAGTAAATACCTGTAACCAGGCCACACTTTTAAGTGCCTTACTGCTTACAACCAGACTGGCCCTTGCATTCTTGCCCACCAACCCCACTTGTTTCCTACCTTCTTCTCTCCATTCCCCCCGGGCTCCATGGCCTTTGGAGAAAAAGCAGCCTGCCCTCCTAGGACACATGTACATACCTGCTTGGATGCAATACGGACCAGGTTTTGGTCAAATAGTGTGAGACCTATCCGTCTGAGCAACACGGAGATGCGTGGTGCCATCCACCCACCTCTCTTAGGCAAGGCTTTGGTGAAGTGGGAGAAAACACACTCCCGTTGGCAAAAGCATTCATCACCCAGCATGCAACTAAATACAGGTGCTTGCTGCAGTTTAAACATCTGCCTTTAGAGACGGTCTCATTCCAGATCAATTAAAACATCAGAGGACATCTTTAAAGGATGCAGAAAATGACAACCCTCTGGTTGGTGCCAGCTCTCAGTTGTCCAGGACCCACTGTACAGACAAAGAAGTGCCTAGAGCCATGACTATGGAGTTGCTGTGCCTTTGAAGCTCCTGCCACATCGGGGTTACAGCCTGCCCTGAGCTCTGCCTGAGCACAGCCAAGTCCCAAGGGGGACCACATGCTTTATAAGAAAAGAATGGTATTGGCTTGTCATCGCGTTGCCCCAAAACAGCCCAGAAATGTGCTGAGCAGCACAGCTTTTCGACTGTTGAAGGGATGCTCACTCAGATCAGCTATCATAGTACTTGGTCTGGCTGCAGAGGACTTGGAGCTGCTGGAAAACAGATGGCAGCTTCAGCTCAAAGAGCAAAAGTCACCAAGTTTTACTACTAGAAATTTATTTCGGACCCTTTAAAGCCAAGAGAAATTCTCAGATCCTATCTGATCATTCCTGTTTTCAGAGGTTTTCTTCTTTAGGAACAGGCTTCCTAGGGAGCACAAGAAAAGCACTGCCACACAGAAACATACAGCTCAGCACAGAACATGGAGGCACTTTCAGAACAAAACAGACCTTTTGGGGTTTTTCAGCTTTAAAGAAAAGTTGACTCAGCAAATATTTCCTCCGCTAACATTTCAACCACATGTTGCAGCAGAAGCCAGCACACATCTGGCACGCTGCAGTGTCACTGCCAGAAAGATCACAGCTTTGCTGAGCAACGGAAATGGAGGAACAGGGACCAGCAGTCCAAGCACTCCTGGAACACATACGTGGCAAAAGAGGATCGCAAAGAGGACCCATGTGAGCCACGGATACCTCACGCTTCACAGGTCTTTCTCCAGCCCTCTCTCCAAACAGCACCCACAAAGGCAGACACTGCCCCGCAACCTGCAAAACTTACCCCTGGCCCCTAAAACCTAGAAACTGAACTGTACGTCTTGGACACATTGAGGGTGTCTGAGATTTTTTTACAGCGTCCGTGAGCTGGACAGTAGCACGTTCCTCTCAGTGCTGTAGGACATGGTCCTCCTGAGCAAGAGAAACAAGGCGAGTAGGTGCTTGGAGCTGCACAGAAAGCCACGGAAGAGGGGAGCGTGCTGGCAGGAAAGGAGGCAGACAGCTCTCGCAGGCAGGCCCGCACATCCCAGCTGCCCCCGGGGGCACACTGGCAGGTAGGTGACCGCTGCGGCAGGTCCACAGGACCCTGAGGCTTCAAACTAGAAAGCTAGAGCCCAAGCAAACCATGCGATCCTTCTCCCGAAAGAGGCTTCTTAGAAGGCTTGCCAAGGCAATCGGCAATTGCGGTGCTAATCAGCTAAATAAGTGCTGCTTTTCGTGCTTATCAGCTGTAAATTGGAGGTTACTCGCAGCCTGGCAGCAGGACTCAGCCACAGCTCCAGACACAAGAAGAGCAGCAGCGCTATAAATACCTTTCCCTCAGAGGCAGTATCCTCCCCAGGCGCTAGACTAAGGTCGCTCCTGATTTTGCAGCAGAAACTGCCAAGCAAACTGTCTAATTGTGCACAGTGACACAGAAGGGACCACGAGTGGGTCCTGGCAACATGCAGGACGCTGTCTGCAGGGCTCCCAACCGAAGGGGGCAAGAAACAAGGTGGCGTGGTGTGGGGCAGGCACAGGACACTTCAAAGCCAGGCTGGAAACCAGCTCACAGCCCCTGTGGCTCTCGTGTCACAGCCAAAACGTCGGCCTCCTCGGGCAAGGAAAATGGCGCTTAGGAGGCCAGCAGGGAGCAACACCATGGAGCAGAGTGAGGGAAGGCGGGTTTGGGCCTTGCGGTTGGAGCTGAACGCCGTGAAAAGCGGCAGCCAGGAAAAACCAACTGTCTGCGTCCCGAGCCTCTGTGCCCCCGATGAGGATGGCAGGGCCAGGAACAGGCAGGGAGGCTGGCTCACACCCTGCCCAGCACGGAGGGTAGCACGGGGGGGGTGGTGGCTCATCCGGATGCGCTCAGCAAGGGGCAAAACCCCCCCAGCAGTTGAAAGGCCAACTTCCACGGGAGGGAGCCTGCTGCCTGCCCGCTGCTTTTTCTCCGAGATTCGATCCGCTCAGATTTCAGGGGAAAAAACACCCGCTGCTGCACACCCAGCAGCCTTCCCGGCGTCGGCCCTCACCGCGGGGCCCGGAGGAGCTGCGGGAGAGGGCTCCGGGGGCCGCCTCCCCGGCGGCACACGCCTGGCGTACTC